AATTCACACATAACAATATTAACCCTAAATGTAAATGGGCTACATGCCCCAATCAAAAGAAACAGACCGACAAATTGGATAAAAAGCCAAAACCCATTGGTGTGCTGTATCCAGGAAACCTATCTTACATGCAAGGATACACAAGGGCTCAAAATAAAGGGATGGAGGAAGCTTTACCAAGCAAATGGAGAGCAAAAAAAAGCAGGAGTTAAAATTCTCATCTCAGATAAAATAGACTTTAAACCAATAAAGATCAAAAGAGACAAAGAAGGACATTACATAATAGTAAAAGGATAAATGCAACAAGAAGAGTTAACGATCCTAAATATATACACACCCAATACAGGAGGACCCAGATACATAAAGCAAGTTCTTAATGACTTACAAAGAGACTTAGACTCCCACACGATAATAGTGGGAGATTTTAACACCCCATTGTCAATATTAGACAGAGCAATGAGACAGAAAATTAACAAGGATATATAGGACTTGAACTCAGTCCTGGACCAAGCAAACCTAATAGACATTTACAGAACTCTCCACACCCCAAATCCACAGAACATACATTCTTCTCAGCACCACATCACACGTACTCTAAAATTGACCACATAATTGGAAGTAAACCACTCCTCAGCAAATGCATAAGAACAGAAGTCACAACAAACAGTCTCTCAGACCACAGTGAAATCAAGTTAGAACTCAGAATTGAGAAACTAACTCAGAACCGCACAGCTTCATGGAAACCGAACAACTGGCTGTTGAATGTTGACTGGATAAACAATGAAATGAAGGCAGAAATAAAGATGTTCTTTGAAACCAATGGAATGAAGACACAACATACTAGAATCTCTGGGACACATTTAAAGCAGTGTCTAGTGGAAAATATATAGGAATAAATGCCCACATAAGAAGGAAGGAAAGATCTAAAATTGACACCCTGTCGTCAAAATTGAAAGAGCTAGAGGAGCAAGACCAAAAAAATCCAAAACCTAGCAGAAGACTAGAAATAACTAAGATCAGAGCAGAACTGAAGGAGATATAGACACAAAAAAACCTTCAAAAAAATCAATAAATCCAGGAGCTGGCTTTTCAAAAAGATCAACAAAATAGACCACTAGCCAGATTAATAAAAAGAAAAGAGAGAATAATCAAATATATGCAATAAAAAACGATAAAGGGGATATCACCACAGATTCCACATAAATACAAACCATCATCAGAGATTATTACAAACATCTCCATGCACATAAACTAGTAAACCTGGAAGAAATGGATAAATTCCT